AAAAAACACTCGGCCACAGAAAGTCACAGCGCATCGGATCATTGATCGAAAATGGTATGTATCCATGTACGGGGGAGGGGACGTCCAAATTTATTCCACAAACTTAAAACGATGGCGATGATCTGACCACACCATTTTAATTGGGTCTTGTCCGTTTCAGGAAAATTATCAAAGTGAAATTTTTGATGAGTTTTAGCTCGCAGTTCATTGAACCATAGTGTAATTTTCATAATTAGGTTCGCGCTATGGCGAATCTTTTAACTGATGAAATTAACCCGATTAGAAAAATAGACCTGGCTGAAGCATAATATTAAAAGTACTGCAATTGTTGAGGTTACATGTCATTTTCCGAATCGTCTTAATTTCGAGGGTTAGTTACTCCGAAGGTTCGTAATTTCGAAGATTCGTAATTTCGAAATTGAAATAGGGGCTCATAATTTCGAAAATGAAAAGGGGTTCATAATTGCGATGGTTCATGATTCCAAAAATAAAAAATAACCCTCTCTCGCTTTCGGGAAAAACAAAACTTCGAAATTATGGACCCCTTGGTATGGGAAAATTTGTTTTTTTATTTATTTTTTATTACCGGCTTTATTTGATTTTTTCGAAATTATGTACACACTTTCATGAAATGATTAACCCCCTTTATTAAGTGATACTTAAGTACTAAGTGTTCGGGATATTTTTAATTTACAAATAGACTGCCTTATGTTTCAACTGAATAACAACGAACTGTCCATAGCACTATCAAGTTCACGACTATAGTTCTATGGTTCCTGACTATTGTTGACTTCAAGCAGTTTAAATTGTTGATTACTATGAATAAATAACGGTATTGCCATGCCAACAATGGGAAAGCAGTTCCCAAAGCTACTTCCTATAAATACCTCGGAGTCACAGTGGCAAACAATCTGAGCTGGAACACCCATGCACAGAAGATCCAAGCGAAAGCTGCAAGAACTCTTGGAGTTGTACGTCGAGCCCTTGGGAAATATGTGAGCAGAGAGTCAAGGACATTGCATACAAGCAGCTTGTACGACCCCAGTTGGAATATGCCTCACTAAGTGCATGGAATCCACACACCCAGAAGGAGATCGAACTCATAGAGAGCATACAGCGACAGGCTGCCAGATTCGTCCTCCATGACTATAGAAGAGAATCTAGTGTCACCACCATGCTATCATCTCTTGGCTGGGACACGCTACAACACCGCCGCTTGCTCAATCAATGCGAGATGCTCTTCAAAGTACACTACAAACTTGTTCAGATCTCCTTGCCTAGCTCCTGACATCCGACTTATCACAGACATCACCAGACCGCAACGAGCATAACATCAAAGCCACAACTTCAGATTTACCCAACCATTTTGCCGAGTTAACTGCTACATGTACAGCATGTTTCCCAGTGCAGTCCGTGTCTGGAACACTCTCCCAAGCAACGCTGTCACTGCAAATACAATTCTTGGCTTTAGGGGAGCGGCACTACCCGCCATACAGACTATGGCGCCGCCCCTGCCCCTGGAGATGTTGTAACGAGGGACACACCTGCACCACCTGCACACTGCACCCTGCACATTGTATATAGTGCACGGAGAACAACCACCATCACTTCACCAACAGCACATCACCAACAGCACGCAACACAGCACAGCCCTCTCCAGGACAGCGTTCACGCCTTTTTGGGAGAGTAATTCTTCAAGGTTCAAGGTGGACCTTCCTAGAACGAGAACACGCTTTGCTCAAAATACCTTAAAGGTAATACAAAGTTTTGGGAAATTTTAAAAATTGGGTGGATAGTGATTCTTTACAATTTTTATATATTTGGATGCCCCTGTGGATGTATTATAAGCATTAGAAAATTTAGCCCCTAAAACACTTCTACTTTCGAGAAAAATTAGATATAAAAAACCGGTGCTCCCGGTAAATTTTGATAAATTTCAAATAGCGCCTACGACCATACAGTGATAGCTGCGACCATGAAAATCTCAGAATATGTAATTGTGATATATAATTTCCAAACGGGAATAGCTAATCGGTCGATTTTAGTCAAGAAACATTGTTTTATAGCTTAATTAATATCTCGACCTTGAGAGGGAGCTACACAACATAACAAGATTATTATTTACAATTTCATAACTTTAGACTCGATTTCAACTGCGACAACCATCATTGAATGTCGTAGGATTGCACATGCTTCCAATATGTTCATTTGAACCATATTCATGACCCCATACCAAAACTCTGTATTACCTTTAATACATACAGGTCCTAAGTTCTGGAATTCTCTCGAATCTGTGATGAAAAGGTCTGTAAGTGTTCATGTATTCAGAAGGAAATTGGAATGTCATTATTTGGATACATATTGTCATTCCTGGTTCCTGACTATTGTAGTCTTCAAGCAGTATACTTTGTTGATTACAATCAGTAAATAATGGTATTGCCATGCCAACTATGTACTGTAACAATGTATGTTCTACTCATATTGAGGACAAACAACATTGTACTATTGTTTCAACAAGCTGCAGATATATTCCCCTTCCCTTTCCCTGTTTTAGCGTTTATTTGTATATTATAAACCTAACTTTAGTTAATTATGTCATTTGTAGCTTAAGGAGCCTATCCACAACACGTTCTTCTTTCCCATAGGCTCCGCCACTATAATTATCTCTTAAGTTCAACCGAAGGACAATTTTCTGAATAGTGTGTACCGGTATTATATGTACATGTAAATCATAATCATTTTTCAATATGTTGTTACACTCTTTGAAGAATGAGAAATTGTGGAAACCAATAAACTATATATCTAACTATATATTAAATGATGTTCGTGCAATGCAACGTGTGCAGCAACGGTTAAAAAAATGTATCCCCTTGCGTAAATTCCAGTCTTACCTTCAAAAAGGATTTAAACAGTGTTGTTCGCGTCATAGATTGTCTGAAAAATTGACCTGATAATAATCAATTTGATTAGCTTTAAAGGCTAGAAGTGGACAATATATAGGTCAGTTTGGCTCTTCAGATGAACGAAAGTAATGAGACACTTATTGTACCTGAATTATATAGAACCTGGTCGCCTTTAGTCTTCAATCAACACTATCGCTTTCGAAAAAAATCACTGTTCCTATCATTTTTTTTAACAATCTTCTTGCTATCGTCATATCTACATTTCTATTCCTTTGTTATTGTATTTGTATGTTATTTTAATATTTTTTTTAATTGAAAAATAAAATTCGTCGCGTTTTATTTTCATCTCGATGGCTTCTTTCCTCTCTCTCTCTCTCTCTCTTTATCTCTGTCTCTCTGTCTCTCTTTCTCTCGCCCCTATCCCTACCCCCCCCCCCTCTCTCTCTCTCTCTCTCCCTCTCTCTCCCTCTCTCTCTCTCTCTCTCTCGTTTCCTGTCTATACGTCCCACCCCACCCTTCTCTCTGTCTATCTCCCTTCTTACTCCTCCGTCCACCACCACCCCCCCCCCCCTCTCCGTCATGAACGACCAGGGACCAAGTTATGAAACAAAACATACAAAAAAAAAGACCTCTAAAAATACTGCATACGCCTCGCTGGCTGTCACATACTATTGTTGAGCTATAAGCCCCCATTTGTCATACAGACGTAATTTCCTCGTAAATATTTCCAAGCATAAATCCGAATACCCGATACAGGAGTGACAAACAATATGTTTTGGAATACAATAGCTATCCAAAAGCTTTCGCATAATTCTTTCTACATCATGTTTTCGTTTTTCTTTCTTGCATTTTCCATTCTTCTTAATACACCCTGGTGATTGATGTGTCCAGTAAACGTTGGCTTTTTTTTTATTTCCAATTTTCCTGTAATGACGCACGTGTGATTTCTGAGTTACCTTCGCCGATGATTTCTTTGATAATTAATCAGGACTCTGCCATTAAAAAGAGAAACTAGGTCGTGTCCCAACAGAGGCAAGCCTTACTTTTGTACATTCTTGAAGGGGCCATCCCATTCGACCGACAGCCCACAAGACCGACATTGATAAGAGTATCACTAGACCGACAAAAAAAAAGTCATGAGAAAATACAGAAAAGAGAATTGTCAAAAAGGGATATGAGACCGACAAAACAAATAAATACGTATGTGAAGATGGTAAGCTGTCGGTCTCATAATCTTTAGCCATTGTTTAGAAAATGATGAAGATTTTTTGCCGTGGCCCCGGGAACATAATGTAAACGTAGCATTAAGTTGATTTTTTTTTGCGTAATTGCACTCGTGTTGAATTATTAGCGACTTTATAAATGGTAATTTTTATCAAGAGGTGTGATTGATGTGTCTCTAAACCTGCCTTGGTAGTGATCATCGTCCTCGGAGATAGTTGCCTGGGGTTGGGCATCCGGTATGGTTATCCAGGATTTAGGTATTCTAGAGTTTTCATAAAAACACCTTTCATTTTATTCCATCGTTCTTCTATATGATGTTCTTCTAATGTCTCATTTATTACCGTAGGTTTTCCACTGACATATTCCTTAAATACTAATAACTCTTTTTCTTATATTAAGTAAAGAAGAAGAAAACACTAGCCCGTTTTTGTATCCGGCGTCATTGATATCCAACCATTCTTTAGCTGTCACATAATTAGGAAATGATGAATGGTTTGCGTCACTATCTTCAAAAATAGAGACATTGTGTTCTGCAAAAGAAAATGAAAGAAACCTAGATATAAAATATGGATATGACTGAATATAGGACTGTCAAAATATCGCGCGTTCATTCCAACCATTGATTGTTGAATTATCTCGTTTTCATAAGATTAATATTAGCCGCCCAATTCTAGTAGGCAGAGGCTTAAAATAACAAGAAACGTAAGTCTTTACAACCCAACGCGCTGAAAAGGCAATCTTGATTTAAACCAAAATCTGTCTCTTTTTCCACTCCTACCGGAAAGGGGGGGGGACTCTTTTATTCGAAACAACAATAATAATCAACCTGTATACCAGGAGATATTAAAGTGAGGGGATGCTCCAATGAGTCGTGGGTCACGCTCTTGTTTCCGACAAGATCGTGAGAGGATACCGAACAGAGGTAAACTCGAGACATCTTACATGTTTCTTTTCATTAGAAAGGAGAGATACTCATGAAGGAGGACACACATCTTTCTCCAGCTCCTAAGTTCGTGCGAAACTTTTGCGTTCGCATAACTGTACATTGTTGGTATATCTTATAACATCTCCGTGCAGAACGGATAATCTATAAAGGCCTGCTTTTAAACGTATCCATTCAACGATATCGGCGGTGTTGAAATTGGCGCGAGTTTCTACGAAAAGGAAAGTTAAGCGAGCGCGGAACTACTTCTTTTTTTTACAATGGGTGGATTAAAGTTTCTCATCGTATTCGTAATGATATTCTCGGGGCAAATCAGGTTTACTGAGGAAACCTTCGAAGAATGTCCACCACCTTGCTCATGCGGTAATAATGGTCCACCATTTTTTTACTTGGACTGTTCCGCTCAAGGGATCGAATCGCCGTCCGAAATCGACTACCCCACCGATATCTATCGCCTGCATCTAAGCTACAACCATATTCGCATCGTGCCTCGCGGGGCTTTCCGCACCCTGCGATTTCTTTCTTACCTTACTTTAGCCAAAAATCTCGTGGAAACACTCGAGGAGGGTTGTTTCGAAGGAGCCTACAACTTAAATGAACTCTCCTTGTCTGGGAATCGAATCGTCAACTTGGAAGAAGTGCACAAATTATCACAAGTGAAAACTCTATTCCTCTCTTCTAATTTGATCGAACATTTCGCCCAAAAAGAGACAGATCAGTTTACTTTAGTCATGACCAGGCTGTATTTGACGAAGAATTACCTGTTTAGGCTGCGAGATATCCGACATAGCATCAGTGAGCTAGAGGTACAAGGCAATAGATTGACTGTATTTGATGCACACGAGATGAAAAATGCAGCTTTCTTAACCCGACTTAACATTGCAGAAAATTTTCTGACATACATCCCCGATCTCCGAAATATGTCTCGGCTTGAAGCACTTGATCTTAGTGGAAACCTAATCCACACCCTGCATGCATGTCTACCGGACACGATCGAATCTATTTGGCTGGTGCGGATGAAACGTCTCTCTGCCTTAAGTATTGCATGCTTAACGCCATCATTATCCATCCGCGTTAAAAGCAAAAGCTCTCTACTGGGTTTAGAACGACTGCAGGGTATCTCTATTCTAGAAGTAGAAGGGACACGTATTTCTAACAACTTTAATTTCATGCATCTGCCGAAAATGTCATCTTTATCTCTAAACGCTTGCCAACTGACCGGTGAGTTTGTTATCTCCATGTCCAGAATGCCAAACCTGACATATCTAACCTTATCCAACAATCAATTTAAAAATATAGCCGTTTCCATTGAAGTTCCAGGCGGAAACGTTGGCAATCAAACAGAGCAGCCTAGCATACAACGGCTATACCTGGATAATAATCATCTCACTGATATATCGTTTGTAAATGTCCTTCCCAAACTGATAATTCTTCGAGTCAACGGTAATAAGGTGAGACATATTGCCGAGAATGATATTACTAATATCTCAACATTGAGGGTAATTTCCCTCGCATATAATGAGATAGTCAACCTTCAAGGGTTGAGATCACTACCCGATCTCATATACGCATATCTCGCAAATAACCGAATAAAAACTATTCACCCTGACACATTTTCCGATTGTTCGCAACTTAAATATCTTGGTCTTAATGCAAACGAACTCGAATCATTCGTTCTTCATCCTGCGCTGGCCCCATCGGTCTTATTCGTGAACCTGGCTAACAACCGCTTCGCGCATCTCGATGCCGATTCATTCTCAAACGCGCAGAAACTTCAAGAACTTAACCTGACGAAATGCGGTCTACAAAGTATCGAACTTTCGCCTATTCCAACACTTCGAGTTTTAATTCTACAAGGTAACCACTTCAACAGAAGCAAACATGTCAATCTAGAGAGCTTTCCGAACCTTATCAAACTAGACCTGAGTGAAAACCCCATAGAATCTGCAGATATGATTAAAAATAGCCGACTGAGATCTCTGATTGTACGGAATTGCAAGTTAAGAAACCTTTCATTCCTTGGCAACACCACGACTCATGAGAACAATTTGAAAGCTCTTAGTTCAATCGACATAGAGGGTAACGAAATTTCTGACCTGTCCCCCCTTTCGGGTAATAGAACTGTTGATTATTTCAAGGCAGCTAATAACCAAATCCGACAAATTCGGCCAACATTCTTTAACCTCAAGCACTACGATTTGTCTGGAAATCGTGTAGGTAGATCTTTGATTGGACCGACCGATAGCTGCGAGAATTTATCTGTACTGAACCTGAAGGACAATTTGATAGTGTTCATATCTGCTGATTATTTCATATCATGTAATAAGTTAGTCACATTGGATCTCAGTGTTAATCCACTGAACAACATCGGCCATGCTGTGCTTCCCAAAGATTTAGCCGGAGTCTCCTTAGACTTCTCTTATTCTGGATTTACCTACGAAGGTATAAACGAAGTCATCAAGGACCGAAAAGTCATTTCACTGCGATTTAATAATGTCTCTAGCTTTGACAACGAACCCAACGCGGTAATTATGCACTCAGAATTACTGGAACTCTTTTTAGGATACAATCATTTAAAAACTTTTCCTAAGATTAACTGCCGACGGCTTTTCACATTAATGCTTAACCACAATGGTCTAAAGGAGGTGTCTGGAAGTGTCTTCGCTTCTCTCCGTTTGCTGAATATGTTAGACCTAAGCAATAACCAGTTACGGGAGATCACTTCAGACATGTTTGCCCATACATGTCATCTTAATCAAATATTCCTAGAGAACAACCAAATATCAAAAATTGCCGAAGGGTCCTTTCATGCCCTGAACCAACTAGAATCGCTCACTATGTCCAACAACATTTTAATCAAGCTTGGTTTCAACAACCTGCCTCGATCTTCCCTTTTAACACATTTTGACTTCAGTAACAACAGCTGGTGCTGCAGTTGCCAGTCATCAGCAGAGCTTCGGCTGTGGCTGCTTGCGTCGGATGTCGACTCGGTGATCTGCCAGAGTCCCGTCAGGTTCCAAGGAACAGACCTGTCTTCGATCACCGAGAAACATCTTTGCTCTCGGGTCAGATCTGATGGAGACGAAGCAGAGGAAGAAGAAGCGAGCGGTTTCGATTTTTTCGATGATCTATTCATGCCAGAACTTTTTCATCGGTCAGAAGGGGACGTTTGTGATAGACCTACCAATTTTAATCTGACAACTACGACGAAGATCCCTGTAACCATTTCATCTGGCACATCCAAACTGTACAGATTGATCTGCTTTGATCTTTATTTGGCCCTTTTTGCATTTTTTTTAAATCAAGAGGGGGTTGTTGATATATAGTTGTTCATTCACAAGACTCTCCACCCCATTCACAAGACTCTCCACCCAAGTGTTGAGGGTTCAAATTCCTGCCTGACCATGTGATCCTTTGGCAATATTGATTTTGATTCATATTTACTTTCCGGTCACCACTCAGGTGTTAATTAATGGGAACTTAATATGCCACAATATCAGAGGCGGCGGAGCGTCTTCCAAAGTGGGGGGGGGGTAGCACCCAAAAAGGGCATTTAGTGAAGAAAAAGGGGCACCTACAAAGGGAAACATCAAAGTGAACATACACCTTTTTTAGACATTGGTATAAAACCCCTACATCGTCATGATTTCGATTGCACTACCAGGGATGACATCAATATTAGTTTCTCTCTTTACGTGGTACAAAATATTTCTTAAGTAAAATACTGTGCACTTGGGTGTGATGGTCTGAATATAAAGTTTTGAGCGAGCAAAGCAAGCAAGCAAAATATCAAGATTTTAGAGGTTACAGTGCGAAAAAAATACATCTTATAAAGAGGACAAAAACATATCTCTCTTCTCCCCCTGCAGGGTTGTGCCATCACGCCTATGAATGTAGCCCTTACTAACCATCCTTATTACCAATAATCTTCGAATATTATTCTACAATTACACAAATGCATATGTCTACAAGCAATTTATCAATTCTACAAAATGATTCAATGAGAAGATAACGTGCATACATTATGGATATAATAATTATGTATTGTGATTTTAAAATGCATCGTCATCTCCATCATTATATTTTGTTATCGTCACTTAAGTATTTGCATGACGTTGTTTTTTGTGTTTAAAATGAATTGTAATAAATTCCGGATCAAAATCTAATTAAAAAGAAATTAGTTATATCGTTCATCCGTGCCTCTTTCTTCTTCTTCTTCTTCTTCTTCTGTTTCTTCTTCTTCTTCTTCTACTTCTTCTTCTTCTTCTTCTTCTTCTTCTTCTTCTTCTTCTTCTTCTTCTACTTCTTCTTCTTCTTCTTTTACTTCTTCTTCTTCTTCTTTTTCTTCTTCTTCTACTTCTTCTTCTTCTTCTTCTTCTTCTTCTTCTTCTACTTCTTCTTCTTCTACTACTTCTTCTTCTTTTTCTTCCTCTTCTTCCTCTTTTTCTCCAGTAGGACATGTTATCGCCAATAGAGTAATAATTTGACATGGGAGAAGAGGATATAAAGTGATATGATGTGAGGAATACCCAAAACGGAGCGATTTAATTTTGAAGACATGAAATCATTTTCGAAATGTGACTTGCACTAAAAAAATGGCATTACTGGCATTGAATCTAGAGTGAGAAGAAGTGTTGATAGAACGGGAGAGGGGGAGAGAAGGAGAATGGGGTCGAGTTAGAAAAGACGATGTGTGAATGAGAGAGGGAGAAAAACAGGGAGAAAGATGATGGGGGAGGGAGTGAAAGAAAGAAAGAGAGAGTAAATTAGAGGTGGAGAAAGAGAGACAGACATAATGAACAAAAAATGTTGCTGGAAGGGAGGGAGAAAGAGCGGAAGGAAAAGGAAGGAAGGAGAAAGAGAGAGAGAAGAAGAAGAAAAAAGTAATGGAAATGTATCTCATCGCTAATAGAAAATCATCTTCCTAGGAAATTAAAACCTGTAATTGGGTCTGAAAATCTTTTTCATCGTAAAAAATATGTTTCCATTGTTAATTTTCAAAACGAAAATTGTGAGGGAGATCATTAATAATTATAGTGGGTTCTTGTATAGCGCTCATGTCTGTCAGACTTGACACTACCGGCGCTCTCGACTATTACCTTGGCTTTAGCACGGCTGCCGTTACGGCGCTCTAGCATTTCAAGGAATTAATTCCTGTCCGGTACCCATTTACATCACCTGGGTTAAGTGTGGCAAATGTAGATCAATGTCTTGCAAAAGGACATTAGTGCCGCGGCAGGACTCGAAAAAAAGGACAAACAAAAAACTTGCACTGTATAGACCTAACTGTAAACATATTAATGAGAAACAAACATGGGTGTCGATCCGGTGGGGTGGGGGGTATATCCCCCCCCCCCCCCCAATATTTCAGGTGGGGGATGGCATGTACAATCATCCCCCAATAATTCACCATCAAAAAACAAAAAATGCAGAGAAAAATTAATGGTTATTACTCGCAAGATGACCATAAATATACACATTTTGCTATCTCATTTTCATAATACATATGTAAATAGAAAACGAAGTAAATGAGACAACCGTATATGAGACTTTATTAATAAATTGAATTCTCGCTCATACGGTTTCCAGGTTTACGGTTTCATCAGGAATTGATGAATTTATTCAATCAACAGCATAATGCAGTGCGCCAAATTCAAAGCCGCACCGTTAAAAAGCAACGAGCTAAATGTTAAGCGCGAAGCGTAAAAGTGCAAAAAAAGAAGTAGAGAGTAGGAGATATATATATATATATATATATTATGAGAGACAGAGAGGATAATAACCCAGGTAGCAAGCCTATGTGGGACCCACATGGGTCCCATATTCTCTGAAACATGGGCCCCATATGGAAAACCATCTGGGGCCCTAAGGCATCTGCACCCAAGAAGCATATGGGACCCATTATGGTCAAACCCATATAAGACAGATGGGACCCAAATGGGGCCCATACCAAACGGGACACAAATGGGTATGCCCAGCTTAATCCCATCTGGTACCCATATTGGTTAACCCAGTTATATCCCATGTGGGTTAACCCAGATTTTCCCCATGTGTTACCCATATGTCAGAACATCATGATGCTAAAAGAAATGCCTTATCCGAAGTACAACTAGATAGTATTGATGCATTGTTTTAATTCTGTATACAGATCTCTTTAAGTGCAATACAACTAAATTTTCAAGAGAGGCCCTGAAGGAATCTTGTGGCTGTGTCATTGTGAAAAAGTAGGGATCACCTTGTGATAAATATAAAGTAATTGTATAGTATCTTGCTCATTGCAAATGTTTAAAGCCTTAATTTCTGGTGATGCTGCTTAAGGATACAGATACAGAGGTAAGAGTCTGAGAGAGGAGGGGTGGGAGCAGCCTGGATGGGAGTAAAAGAGAGAGGAGGGTTGTTTGGTGGAGTTGCCTCGTCGAGGGAGCAAGAAAGACACGCATAAATATGTTGCTGTGTCGGGTCAGCTGTGTCGGTATTCTTGCTCGATCCTTGTGTACTATAATTATCAATGCAGAAGTTTGAAGTCGGTGAGATGTGTAATGTCGGTCGGCCGACAATTTTTTTTACTACGAGCTGTGACTTTTTATCCGCTGTGACGACTTCGAGAGAAACTACAACAATAATAAATGTATTTTCTCGAATTTTCACTTTCCTATAATATCAGCTAAAGAAATCAGAGGTTAAAAATTGTTGGGGAAAACTAAATTAAAACAAGGATTAAGAGTCAAAAACGGTACAACGAATCGTCTTTTTCTCTAAAAATTTAATGAAACGTCTAAGCTTCCGTGCTTTGTGCGGGAGGCCCTTCACCCAGCCCCCGGGAGCGCGTACTTTAGTGATTCGCTTGCTTAGGTACAACGAATCGTCTGCTTTCTCTCATAATTCAAGGACATGTCAAAGCTTCCGCGCTTCGCGTGGGAGAGGGATACTAAATTCAGACAATTATGATTAAGACTCGAGAACGGTGCAACGAATCGTCTTCTTTCTCTTATAATTTAATCAAACGTCTAAGCTTCCGCGCTTTGTGCGGGAGGCCCTTCACCCAGCCCCCGGTGGCGCGCCCTTTAGTGATTCGCTTGCTTAGGTACAACGAATCGTCTACTTTCTCTCATAATTCAAGGAAATGTCAAAGCTTCCGCGCTTCGCGCGGGAGGGGGATACCGAATTCAGACAATTAGGATTAAGAGTCGAGAACGGTGCAACGAATCGCCTTCTTTCTCTTATAATTTAATCAAACGTCTAAGCTTCCGCGCTTCGCGTGGGGGGGGGGGGGTTGAACTGAATTAAGATAAAAATTAAGAGTCGAGAACAGTACAACGAATCGTCTGCTTTCTCTCATACTTTAAGGAAACGTCAAAGGGAAATTGAATTCAGACAAGAGTTAAGAGTCGAGAACGGCACCAAAATCGTCTTCTTTCTATTATAAGTTAAGGAAACGTCAAAGCTTCCGCGCTTCGGGCGGGAGGGGAAAGAGAATTTAGACAAGGATTAAGAGTCGAGAAAGGTACAACGAATCATCTTCGTTCCCTAATAATTTAATGAAAAGTCTAAGCTTGAGCGATTCGCGCAGGAGGCCCTTCACCCAGCCCCCTATGGAGCGCGCCCTTAAGTGATTCGCTTGCTTACTACCGCCCCCCCCCCCGAAAATAAGGTCCTATCTACGCGCCTGCATTTAAATATATAGCTATGATGCTGACTAAGTTGACGAAATAATTCGTATATTTATGTGGTCGAGGAAAATGACCATTTGCGCATACGCAAGTACTATAGATAGGAAAAACAATTTAGCCTTCGACTCTGGGTTTAAAGGGTTAAATTTGTAGACATTGGGACATTAAATTTTGTCGGTAATTGGTGGCTAGTTTTGTCGGTAATCGGTGGCCTCTACATCTCCCCCCCCCCCCCCCCCCCCCCACTGAAAAAGGTCTAGCGACGCCCCTGAGTGCAACGATTTGTTTTATTTGGCTAATCGATCTTTGATTGGTCACACTTATGATAGATTGTACAAATAAACTGGCGCCAAAAATACTGAAGAGTGACAGACTCCCGGGGCCGAGCTCACTATCTCTGACTGCTAAAGAGCAGGCCTAATATAGACCTGATGACTATTATACGTTTCGTGGGGGGAGGCAAATGTTTGGTTTAAATTGTTTATTTATTTATTTATTTATTCAGTCTTCTTTAAAATACAGGGTAGTACTTTAAAAGCCACAAGGCCTGCTTTTCAAAGGAGACCTGTAGGTGAGTGACAAAGTACATGGTAAAAATTACAACAAAAACATCAGCAAATAAAAACATATACCGGTACATAATACATAATACAGTTATTTACTACTAGATACAAAAATAACACAGAACACGATTTAGTTTTAAAAAGACAAAACAACCTACATAAAATTCATGCTTGGATTTAAATGAGCCAAGTAAAGCAAGGGAATATAATTATATTCATAAATTAAACAAAACAAGTTTACTTAAATTTGATTGCACTGGT